GTCTGGATCCACAGTGGAGGATGCTGCTTTGCTTTGTGCAGGCGGTCTGGAGCGTCTGGATTTCGGGGTAAAACTCCTCTTGGACGCGATGGCGACTCTGCATCGAACAAGACGAACTCAAAGAAGAGATGCTAGCGGTAAATATATGTTCGATTACTGCCTGCTAAGCTATAGCAGCCTAGCCTAAGCTACCGGCTAATAGCAGCCTAGCTATTAGCCTATCTAGCCTAGCCTTGCAAGAACAAGCTTTATTAAAGTGTATTTTTTGTGATTACAGGAAGCAGTATGCCGTCTTAACAACTCGGAGACTAATTGCAGGCGCTATGAACCGGAGCAAGGGTAAGATTTAAAGAATATGCTTTCATTCTGCGGTAAAAGGCAATGGATACGGATAGATACCGATCATAGCTTTTACATTTTGTTTTCACAGACTACTGTCGCCTCACAATGAGGCGGTGACCTCCTATTTGCTCGGAGCCATAATCAGCAAGTCCAGATTTGCACGATGTTGATAAAGACGACATTGTGTGTAAGTGACTTGTTGTAATGTTTTCTCCTTCCTTGTTACTGTGACTTGAGTTTGATTTTTTATTCATACCACTCTCATTTAATTGTTTTCCAGCTGCCTGTAAGACGTATTTTCAGACGGTACGCAGGAGCTTCAGATATAGGCTGCCAGCCAACATGCTGCGTGCGGAGGCTATCTGCTCGGAGTCGGGCCAGAAGAAAGAGGGTAAGACTTAATTTGGTGACTATTTTTCAGGTGCATTAATAGATGTGTTGTGTCCATACGCAGTGCGCTGATTCATTGTTTTTTTTTTCAGCTGCTGAAAGCGAGGCAGTGTGTGCTGGCAGATGAGGAAGTGGAACTCTGGAAGTCCGCCTTCCTCGGCGGTGTCTCTGGATGGATTGTACGGTCGCCGCCATTTCGTAGGCCGGATCTCACTGAACTCTGTGTTAAGCTGCAGTCCCGGTTAGAAGCGATGCCGAAGAACAGGGCCACGCACAGTATGCGTCTGCACATCGGACCTGCCTCGGAGGGAATGCTGCCAGTTACCTCCAACCCCGAGGAAGCAAACGGACCGTTCACAGACTTTTAATTTTTAGAAACGCATGTGTTTGGATACGCGTTGTATATAGTTGTGTGTGTTTCAATAAAGCTCTTTCTTTGCATAAACAGCTTCCTGCAAATGTTCATTTCCTGTATAAATTCATTCATGTCCTTGATGGTAGCCTAATAATTGTGTAGTAGTGTAGGATAACATAAATACACACCATATGAATGAATAAATATATGAATGAATAAATATATATATATATATATATATATGAATAAATATATATATGTAAATATATATATATGCCAACCAATCACGAGCGACTTTACTTGTTTAAAAAGAAGTGGTTCCGTCCAATACTCAGTAAGAAAATTAAAGCCTGGCGTGGCCACGTGTGGTTTTGCTGCCAATCACGAGCGATTTCATTTGTTTGAGAATAGTGGTTTCAGCCAATACTGAGTAGGTTATTCAAGCCAGACCTGGCCAGCCGCGCGGGTTTGCTGCATTCATATGCTAATTAGGGCCATTAGTACAGCTGATCGCTCTCCACATACGTCACGGTACGTTTTCGACAATTTGTGGCACGACAAACGCGGACAAGCACGGGTTGCAAATTGTCGGAAACTGACGAAAATCAGGCAGATCTGCGGGAGTTTACGGGGGTTTACGGGGACGAAAATCTCACTTTTCATGCAGTGGTAGTCCTCCACAATACAAAGTTGAGCTCCCCTCTCCTCCTGGCTTCCTGAATGATTAATTCTTTGGTCAGGCATTGTAGTAGGCGAAGGATGGACGTCCTAATGGCTGTTTAGATGCTTGAGAATAGTGAGCTCCATCGAGCTCTGGTGGGGTGGGGAGCACCTCTTTCCCAAATAGTTTGCAAGTAAAAGGCTGGATTATTCCAGAGCAGTACGCTTGTACGTCTACCCTGTCCACATACAGTGGGGCAAAAAAGTATTTAGTCAGCCACCAATAGAGCAACTTCTCCCACTTAAAAAGATGAGAGAGGCTGGTAATTTTCATCATAGATATACCTCAACTATGAGAGACAAAATGAGAAAAAAAAAATCCAGAAAATCACATTGTCTGATTTTTAAAGAATTTATTTGCAAAATATGGTGGAAAATAAGTATTTGGTCAGTTACAAACAAGCAAGATTTCTGGCTCTCACAGACCTGTAACTTATTCTGTAAGAGGCTCCTCTGTCCTCCACTCATTACCTTCATTAATGGCACCCGTTTGAACCCGTTATCAGTACAAAAGACACCTGTCCACAACCTCAAACAGTCACACTCTAAACTCCACCATGGCCAAAACTAGAGAGCTGTCAAAGGACACCCAAAACAAAATTATAGACCTGCACCAGGCTGGGAAGTCTGAATCTGCAATAGGTAAACAGCTTGGTGTGAAGAAATCAACTGTGGGATCAATTATTAGAAAATGGAAAACATACAAGACCACTAATAATCTTCCTCGATCTGGGGCTCCACACAAGATCTCACACCGTGGGGTCAAAATGATCACAAGAACGGTGAGTAAAAATCCCAGAACCACACGGGGGGACCTAGTGAATGACCTGCAGAGAGCTGGGACCAAAGTCACAAAGGCTACCATCAGTAACACACTACGCCGCCAGGGACTCAGATCCTGCAGTGCCAGACGTGTCCCCCTGCTTAAGCCAGTACATGTCAAGGCCCGTCTCAAGTTTGCTAGAGAGAAAACTTGAGATGACTGGGAGAATATCATATGGTCAGATGAAACCAAAATAGAACTTTTTGGTAAAAACTCTACTCGTCGTGTTTGGAGGAGAGAGAATGCTGAGTTGCATCCAAAGAACACCATACCTACAGTGAAGCATGGGGGTGGAAACATCATGCTTTGGGGCTGTTTTTCTGCTAAGGGACCCGGACGACTGATCCGTGTGAAGGAAAGAATGAATGGGGCCATGTATCGTCAAATTTTGTGTGAAAACCTCCTTCCATCAGCAAGGGCATTGAAGATGAAACATGGCTGGGTCTTTCAGCATGACAATGATTCCAAACACACCGCCCGGGTAACGAAGGAGTGGCTTCGTAAGAAGCATTTCAAGGTCCTGGAGTGGCCTAGCCAGTCTCCAGATCTCAACCCCATAGAAAATCTTTGGAGGGAGTTGAAAGTCTGTGTTGCCCAGCGACAGCCCCTGAACATCACTGCTCTAGAGGAGATCTGCATGGAGGAATGGGCCAAAATACCAGCAACAGTGTGTGAAAACCTTGTGAAGACTTACAGAAAACGTTTGATCTCTGTCATTGCCAACAAAGGGTATATAACAAAGTATTGAGATGAACTTTTGTTATTGACCAAATACTTATTTTCCACCATATTTTGCAAATAAATTCTTTAAAAATCAGACAATGTGATTTTCTGGATTTTTTTTTCTCATTTTGTCTCATAGTTGAGGTATATCTATGATGAAAATTACCGGCCTCTCTCATCTTTTTAAGTGGGAGAACTTGCACTATTGGTGGCTGACTAAATACTTTTTTGCCCCACTGTAGCAAACCGGAGGTCCAACTACAGATTACTTTGGTTTTATGATTTTTTTCTTGGTAATTTTATCAAAGGATTTTATAAATCCTTTGATAAATGACTGTTTTTTTTCTTTATTTTAGATAATTTTTCGAAGTAGCAAGAAGGTTATGTGTTGGATTCCCAGCCTTTCTCTCTACATGGAGTTTGCGTGTTCTCCCTGTGTACGCTTAGGTTCTCTCAGGATACTCCGACTTCCTACACTTTGTGATCTGACTGCTGATACAACCAGCCATTTGCCTCTTTTTTTTTTTACATTATTTTAGAAAACAAACCACAAACACCCTAAGGCTGCATTTTCTAGCTTCTGTGGCATGTTTTCCTGAGATGCATTGTACGTCTGACAGCATCTACTGTACACAGAAGGACCAAAATGGCTGTTCTTGAGAGCCCTCTCGTCTGGGCTTTTCTGACTTGAGCAAGACAAACCAAGTTTATTTATTAGAAAACAAGGAGAATAAAAGCAAATGAAGACAAAAACGTGATAAAAGCAGGTACGAAAACAAATCAGTTTAAACTTCGACTTCAAAGACCTCAGGCCTTCAGCACATTTCCAGTCTTCTGGGAGTTTGTACCAGTTCATTGGAGCATAGGAACTAAATGCTGCTTCTTAATGTTTGTCTCAAGCTCTGGGTGGACAGAGTAGGCTGGAACTAGAAACCCGAGTGACTGGGAGGTTAGTTCACTGACAAAAAATCAGTTATGTATCTAGGAGCTGATCTATTCAGTGATTTATAGAATGACAGAGGGATTTTAAGTCTATTCTTTGAGCCACAGGGAGCCAGTGGAAAGACTTCAGAACCAGGCTGATGTGCTCTACTCTTTTAGTTCTAGTAACAACACGGGCAGCTGCGCTTTGGATCAGCTGCAGCTGTCTGATGGACTTTTTAGGCATCCCGTGATCGCACTTTTGCATTAATTGCACTTTAAAACTTTTGCTTCTACTGCAGATTCTAACTGAATTAAAACACCAACACACAGTTTTAACATGAAATAAATACAATTGCTCACCATGCTGCTCCAGAGCATCATTCTGCTCCTGGTTCCCAAACCGCAGCTTATGGACCAACCATAACTGATCTATAGATCTATAGTTTTTTATCCGTTTGAAGGTGTTCTGCTACCGTCGGTACATAATAGGTAAATGTGAATCCAGTACGTGGAAAACCTGTACCTAATATTCTACATTAAAAATAAAAACAATAAAAGATCTTTATAGCTGAGATACAAAGATAGAAAAACTTTTATCCATTTGACTGGACGTTCTAATTGGATCGTCTCCGGAAAGTTAACTGAGATGACATTTGATGTTAACTGGAGCTACATGAAAAAACTGAATTCAATTAAAAGATCTGAATGTGTTTGTGTTGCCAGTGCTCCTATCCTGTGTGGGAGGACTTCAGCGCCAAGGCCACCAAGCTGCATTCACAGCTCCGGTAAGCTTTGCACAAATGGAAAAGGGACTTGATTTTTCATTAAAAATGTCATGCTTTGTTACATTACAGCCTCATGTTTAAACTCCATGTGACATAAAGACTACAGATAAACAATGTTAAAAAAAAATCCATAATTGTAAACGTTTCTTTTCAAGTGAAAATAGAAAAGGTAAGATGATCACCTGGAGGAGCTTTAGAAAGCTGGAGGCTGCTAGTAGAACAGCTGATGTCCAATCTGAAGGTAATCTGGCTGTTACCAAACAGGAAGTAGAAACATTGAATACAAGCCAGAAGAAGTACAGCTGGTCTTTTAACCCTGGAGTACGGAAGCTGAGAGCAGTCATGTCCCTCAGATAGCCTACTTTTTCAAGGTGGTTTCTCGAGAAAAAAAGTTCATTTCTCATTATCTAAAGCCAAAAAAAGCCATTTTCTTTTGATAACGAGATGATTGATGTGTGTTAGAAATGATTGTATCCTACAATACCACAACAGTGGGAGAGGATTTGTCAGTATAAGTCTTGGCAGCCTATGTTTGTTTGTGTAAATAATCCCGTTTTTAACTTTTAGGTAACTAGACAATGTTGTTGGTTTGATGATTTGCTTCCACTTCTGATTCGTAAACAATAAGACCTATCCCTCTGGCATCTTAGGGCCGGGTGTTTTCTGAACAGCTCCTGTGTTTCGCCTGTAACAGGTATAAGATGCATTAGCACCCAAAATGAGTCCAGATTAAAGATTTTCATTAAAAGACAGTCAGATATAATCTACTGTATTCCATGCAAACCAACCATCCACCATGACCTGACAATGAGGGAAAAGAAATAGGAAACTAAAAAACTAATTATTTGTGCACACACGGTAACGCGACTGCACAACTTCGGGCCCCGCTGGCATGGATGGACTGGGGATCCAGGGCTGTTGGCCAGCCTCATTCATTACTCATACAGGTTAATCATCTCGTTTTTTCAAGAAATCTATAACTATTTTCCTGTGATAACAAGATAGTTATGTCATTATCTCGTGAAGGCAAGAGAAAAAAAAAAAACGTAAAGTACGAGCGCTCTTTGTTTCCATACTGAAAAACCAAAGAACCCTTTTTTTTTCTTTGGAAAATTATGAAATGGGCATTAAATGACTGCTTAACCTCTTAAAACCACCGGGTGACCCGATGGACCTTAAGTGGGGGTAATAATTCAGAATGCATACATTTCTACCGGAAAATTTTTTACCAGCAGGTGGAGCCATTGTGCGCAGCTCCAAGCTACTACCAAAAGTTCCAAAGCCCACAGCTCTGGAACTGTTAAAGCTAGAGGTCTGAAATGTTCTGCATTTATGGTTCACGTGATGTAGAACACATGTAATACAATAAAACCTGTTTTTTTCTCAAGAATGTCTTTATTACTGCTGTTCACAAAAGCACTATCATTTCGAGAATATAAAACAACAACTTTGAGCCATGTTTGAACTGATGCAGGTAGGTCTGTGTTTTACTCATCCAACTAGAGGGTGTTAGCTTTCAAATACTGTATTGCACATGTAATTTGGGCTTTACAGTTCCTAAGTTATTTGCTTTTTCAGTTGGGTATGCAAAATAGGTGAGGATTACTTAAACTGAGGTGGATGTTAACAGGTTAAATTAATGAAGTTCACTCAACACCAAAATATCCACTTTTTTATTTTTAACACTTCATTCCCTAATTTAGGACTGGTGCCTGTTTTGACCCTTTGGGCTTTAGACGCATTATTTCAAAGTATCAGAAATAATAACAATTCCGTCAGTCTTAACAATTTCTTATTTAGAAAAAAAGATCAGTCAACCTCAAGCAACATTTAACAATGTTCTTATATCTTTGCTCCATTTAAGAACTGGATATCAAACATGCAAACACACCTTGGTCAAAGGAAACCAGAACACAAGGGCCAAATCACGACACCAGTACCATGGGCCTTTGCTTATCCAGAAATCTGTACTACTAGAGAAAGGAACTCACACTACACTTGGTAGTCTTTAAAATTATTTATTTTTGTTGTTTATGCTGAGAGGATCTGCACTTTTTTCACGGTGCATTTCAGGTCCTTGCATACAGCACATCGATGTTCCTCCATGACAGGCATATGGGCGATTTGTTTAACTCAAATATCTCCACTCTGATAAACTCAAACAAAGCTTTGTGGTAGAGAGGATGGACCTGGAGTTGGTGGCCTACCCTGCCTTCTTAGTGTTCCAACTTCAACCAAGCCTTAAAAAACCGAATCCTGAAAGTTGTGAAGTTTGAGTACTTTTGATAAGTGGTTCCATTTGCCTCACAATCTCTCTGTTAAAGGAGCCATGCGTTGATCTTGAAAGTTGACATCAGGCAACTCAAAGTTTCTCTTTCCCTACCTGTACGTTTTTGCCGCATGTTTTAGCTCCATCTGTTGGCTCAAAAATCCTGGCAAACTCCACATCTTCTTTACCAGACAAATCATTAGACGTGCCATTGTCTTGATTAGAGGATTCACGACCATCATTTTCATGCGGTTGAAAGAATTCACCAAAATAGACTGCTGTACAATTCTGGACAGCCAAACTCACAATCATCAGCTAGAACTTGATCAGGAGTTTATGCATTTGACAGACGCTTTTATCCAAAGCAACTTACAAAGAACATGAAGGGTCTTGCATAAGGACCTGAACTGGTAGCACATTCCCCCCAGCGAGGATTCAAACCCAAGGCCTCCTTAGTGCATGTTTGGTGACGTATAACTTGAGGTAGCCAGCCTCAGAACTAAATAACTGTTTCTGATTCTTTTGCTGCCCTAAAAAAAAGAGTTGCGATACTTCCTGAAATGATATAGTTACTTAGTTTCTGGCATTACACAACCAAAGAAATAGTAAAATATGTTATACAAATAAGTTTATTTCAAGGCTCTTGCCAAATACAAGACTGTCACCATTCTTCATCTACAAAGTCACAAAAAATTTGACCCAATATTTTTCAACTCATGCACCCAGAGAGACTTTTCTTTTGGCTAGCTCAGATTTGCATGCTTCTAGCTAAAAACTAAACAGACTAACATGAAATCAAAAACGAATTACCAACCTATGATTTGCTGAAATGACTATTTTGGGTAGGTTTCACACTCTACAAAACAGCATGTGGTTAGCCTTCTTGTCACTACCATATTGGCTAATGTCATTTTAACATTTATACACTATGAGTCTCTGCGGAGGGGTCAGAAGTGGCACTCTGGGCTTTTGGAGTCAATTTTATTTTTCTTTGTTTGTTCATTTAGGAGTTTAGCAATTAACAGTGGCCAAATTTGACCTTGTGGGTTTTCAGTGTTAAAAAGTGGTTGAACCTTTAACCCCCAGCCCCCACCCCAAATACCAAATTGTTACAGCAGTACCCACAGCATCATGTGTGGGGATAATTTAATTCTGTAGGTAAAGGGTGATGAACAAAAGTTCTTGTAAAGAGCTGGAGGATTTCTGTTAGAATGCTTTGGTTAAAGTCCAGATATCACGTTTTCTTTCTAGCAGCCCATTTAGTGAACCTGGGCAACATCACACCAGACCCACACCCAGAGTTTTTGGACATTTTATATTCATGGATGTTCCATATTTGACCAATTCACAATATTCTGCCAAACAGCTTTCATTTTCAGAAAGTACCAAAGTGGAATTTAATGGTCACGATAAATCCCCCTAGAATATGAGAATATGAAGTATTTGTCTGGAAAATCACAAAAATTAGGAGAAAAAAAATTGTGTCATTATGTCACTAAATATACAGATTTCATCAGATACCGAAAATAAAGGTTTTTTTATTTATGACCATCAGAGTTTTCAGTGTTTCAGTATTGTATAATGTCTTTTTTTTCCTGTAGAACCACTGTTCTGGCTGCTGTGTCCTTCCTGGATGCCTTTCAGAAAGTGGCAGACATGGCCACCAACACCAGAGGTAGGACAGCAAACAGCAGCTGTTTGATTTCCAAATTACAGCTGCTGTTTTTTTCATGCTTCCATGTAATCAGGCTCCTTATTACTGTTGAATAAACATGTTATCAGATGAAGGTGACATCATCATCCAGCTGCAAAACCAATCAAAGTGTTTCCAGCTGCCTAGAGGCACACAGAGTATATATATGTATGTAGCGCTGGTAACAGCGAAATCTTGGAAATCAATGCCCTTAAACCAGATCTTTAGCTGACAGTTCTGAAAGAACAGTGTTTCCTTAACCCTTTGAAGCCTGGATTTATAAACATGCAAATAAAAATGTGCATGTGTTTCGGAAGGGATCTGCAGGCCTTTTATATGATCAAGGTCAGTAGTACACTACCATTCAAAAGTTTGGGGTCACCCAAACAATTTTGTGTTTTCCTGAAAAGTCCCACTTATTCACCACTATTTGTTGTGAAATGAATAGAAAATAGAGTTAAGACATTGACAAGGTTAGAAATAATGATTTGTATTTGAAATAAGATTTGTTTTACATCAAACTTTACTTTCGTCAAAGAATCCTCCGTTTGCAGCAATTACAGCATTGCAGACCTTTGGCATTCTAGCTATTAATTTGTTGAGGTAATCTGAAGAAATTGCACCCCACGCTTCCAGATGCAGCTCCCACAAGTTGGATTGGTTGGATTGGCACATCTTGCTTACCAAACGGTCAAGCTGCTCCCACAACAGCTCAATGGGGTTCAGAGCTTGTGACTGTGCTGGCCACTCCATTACCAGCTGCCTGTTTCTGCTCTAAATAGTTCTTCCACAATTTGGAGGTGTGTTTAGGGTCATTGTCCTGTTGTAGGATGAAATTGTCTCCACTGGGTATGGCATGGCGTTGCAAAATGGAGTGATAACTCTCCTACCTTACCAGCACCAAAGCAACCCCAGACCATCACATTACCTCCACCATGCTTAACAGATGGCGTCAGGCATTCTTCCAGCATCTTTTCTTTTGTTCTGCGTCTCATGAACGTTCTTCTTTGTGATCCAAACACCTCAAACTTGGATTCATCCGTCAACAACACTTTTTTCCAGTCTTCCTGTCATGATGGGATTCAGATTTCTAACCCACATGCAGAACACAACGGGGGCAGATGAAAAGTTTGACTGTTTATTGAAATAAACACAAGGTTATATGGAAGTTGCAGATAAACAGATCCGGGACTGGTCACACAGAGTTCTCTGTAGAGAGGGACAGTTAGGTTAGCCAGGATGCGGTAGATCTTTACCAGAGGAATTGTGCAGGTTTGTACCTGTGACGTGGTTCTGGGTTAGCAGCTGAGGGAGGGAACCAGGTGGGCCAGAGGCTAGAAGTTGGCAGAGGGCTAAGCAACGGCAGGGCTCGACTTCAGACTTATCAGTGTTCAGATCCAGAGTTTTCTTCCGATCCTCTTCTTGAGGGCGGGCAGGCAGGTTCAGACAGTTAGTTTCTTCAGATGAGCTCCTGAGAGCAGGCAGGCAGATTTCAGCAGAGGAAACTCTTCCAGAGTTCCAGGGTTCAGTCAGGTTTCTTCCATAACTGGCTTAACACTCTGGCGCTGGAGTGTAGTCCTGCCGCTGCTTATATGCTGGTCTCCTGATGACTGATGGATCGCAGGTGTGGTCGTCAGCTCAGCTCCAGGAGACCTAGAGGCGCCCTCTGCTGGAGGAAGGTGGACAGACCTCCAGATCCAAACACTTCCTGTGTCTAATGTCTGTGTTCTTTTGCCCATCTTAATCTTTTTCTTTTATTGGCCAGTCTCAGATATGGCTTTTTCTTTGCCACTCTGCCCTGAAGCCCAGAATCCTGCAGCCCCCTCTTCACTGTAGAAGTTGACACTGGTGTTTTGCGGGTACTATTTATTGAAGATGCCAGTTGGGGACCTGTGAGGCATCTGTTTCTCAAACTAGTGACTCTAATGTACTTATCTTCCTGCTCAGTTGTGCAATGCGGCGTCCCATTTCTTTTTCTACTCTGGTTAGAGCCTGTTTGTGCTGTCCTCTGACAAGAGTAGTGTTAGCTGGACTGAACTCAGGAGACAGTTAGGAGTAGAGCTTCTGAAAGGAGTCACATGTAGTTCGTTCCTGCAGGATTAAAGCTAAACAAATGGTATGCACTGAGAAACTCTGGACTAATGATTGTAGCTTTCGTTGATGTCAATATTCAGGCTACGGATCCCAGAGTCATTGTTATGGACGACCATATAGGCTGCTTCACAGAAGCAATGTTCCTGTTGTTGCTCATTGGATGCAGATGTAAAACAGTGCTTTGGACGATCATAAGGATGATGGGGTCTCAGTGTGAGTGTGTGTGTGCAGCACCAGGTGGGTTTGAGGATGCAGGATGTGGCTCCTGCTGGTTTTACAGCCCAGACAGGAAGAGGCGCAACTTGTCGGCTGCTGCTGCTGCATTTGCAGAAAATTATTAAGCAAATTTTGGCAACGCAGGCTTCTCAGCAGAACTTCCTGTTGCTGTGAGTTAGAGAGCATCAGGATCAGCTGTACCACCAAGCTGATTATCAACTTGCTAACTCAATCCAGATTTCTCTGATCATGAATCTGTGAACAAGCACGTCTTTTCCTGTTTGGCTGTGACTTCATCCTGGAGAGACATATCAGCTCTGCTGCTCCCATCAACACCTTTGTTTATAGATGTTGGAGCTTAGCCTGTTTTTTAGCGTAGTCCTGTTTCTCTGAGTGTGTCTAACTGGATGTGCTCTCTTCATCCTCTGACATGGGAGCTAGCCCGGAGCTCGTCTGCCTGGCTGTGTGTTTCATGATTGGCGCCGCCTGTGGAGGTAGTTGACAGATGCCTTTTGTATCTCTTCTTGTCTGCTTCTGCCTCCTTTGACCCCAGTCGGCCTCAGCAGAAGGCCGCTCACACTGAGCCTGATTTTTCCTTTCCACTGTCTGATGGATAGGAAACTGAACCAATCTGACTTTTTGATCAGGATGAATTGTCTCTGAAAAATTACCTGAGACGACATAATGTGAATTGGCGCTATAGAAATAAACTGAATTGAATTGAAGTTGAATAAAGGGGCATATATAAATCATGAAGACCAACTATGAGTGCAGAAAGCAGAGCGCCATCCTTCTCCTGTGGTAGAATAAAAGAGAAGTGAGCTATTGTAGCAAAGGGTCGTTGACTTCAAAATGATCCAGTTACACATCAGAGTCACTTAAAACTGCATCCTAAATACTGGGCTTCAGAAGAATCTGGATTGAAGAGAAGTTAAGAATAAAACACAGAAACATAATTTATCTGGTTGGCTGGACTTTTTAATTCAATTAAGATTTCTCTACAATTAATCCACAATAGCTGTAGCTTCAGTGTATGTAACAGCCTGGTTTTCATGATGCAATGAATGTGAAATTTCACAGAAATCCATGTATTGACTCACTTGCGATCCTTACTGTAATACGATGGTCAGCCAAGTGACCAGGAAAGATTATCGATTCATTCATCAAATGTATCACTGGACACCAATGGACACTGATGGACACGGAAGAACATTGATGGACACTGAAGAACACTGATGGGCACTGAAAGACACTTAAGGACACCGATCGACGGTGAAGAACGCTGGTGGACTATGATAGACACCATTAGACACTGATGAACACTGATGAAAACTGAAGGACACTGATGAACACTGAAGGACACTGATGAACACTGGGAACACAAGGGAAACTGGATTCCTGGAAGCAGAGACAAGGAGGAATTAGAATCCAATCAGGATCAGAAACAACAAAGATTCTCAGGAGATGCTAGGCTCAAGTGCTAACCAAACTGGATAAACACTGCGGCGTTGAGGCAAAGTCTGAAGGCTGGTTATAAAGGAGAGGATCCTCTGATGACGAGATGCGCCTCAGGTGTGTTGGAGGCTCAGCTGAGGAGGATCCACTGCGCACTCTGCTGGAGAAGGGTGGAACAGCTCCAGATCCCAACAGTACCCCCCTCTCAACGACCGCCTCTTGGCGGTCCAGAAGACGTCGACAGGAGGGAGCGCTCATACTCCTCGATTAGAGACGGATCGAGGATGTAGGAGCCAGGAACCCATTGGCGATCCTCCAGACCATAGCCCTCCCAATCGACGAGGTACTGCCAGCCGCGACCTCGCCGACGGGAGCCCACGATCCGGCGGACGGTGAAGGCAGGATGTCCATCGACTTCCAGGGCGGGTGGAGGGGAGTCAGATGGAGGGCACAAAGGGCTAGAGACCACTGGTTTGACCTGGGAGACGTGGAACGTGGGATGGATGCGAAGACTCGAAGGAAGGTGCAGGCGTATGGCTGAAGGGTTAATCACCTGGGCAATCTTGTACGGACCAATGAATCGAGGAGATAACTTGCAAGACATCCCCTTGAGGGGAATGTCCCGAGTGGAGAGCCATACCTCCTGACCAACGGTGTACTCTGGGGCAGGACGTCTTCTAGAGTCAGCGAAGCGCTTGTTAGTTTCAGAGGAGCGGTTGAGTGTAGCGATGGTGTCTCTCCAGATTCGTTGACATCGACGGATGTGATGGTTAACTGACTGTACCGAAATCTCTCTCTCGTCTGCGGGAAAAAGAGGAGGTTGATATCCGAGACTAACCTGAAATGGTGACTGGCCGGTGGAAGCAGACTTGAGAGAGTTGTGGGCGTATTCAATCCATGTGATACCTCACAGTCGGTGGGGTTATTGGAGGTTAGACAACGGAGAGTAGACTCGAGCTGCTGGTTCATTCTTTCGGTTTGACCGTTTGACTGTGGATGATAACCTGAGGTGAGTGAAGACTTACAGTTGAGTGCTGCACAGAAGGCCTTCCAGACTTGAGAAATGAACTGGGGTCCGCGGTCAGAAAGAATTTCCTGGGGGATTCCATGAAGTCGAAAAACGTGTTTAACCAGGAGCTGGGCGGTTTGGAAGGCTGTGGGAAGTTTCCTGAGGGGGATCAAATGGCAAGACTTTGAAAATCGGTCGACGATGGTAA